GGCTCTGTCTCAAAAAAAAAAAAAAAAAAAAAATTATACTTGGAAATATTTTTAATTCAGAAAGTAACCTGTCTCTTACTAAAAGCATACACATACATACAAAGATACACCCTTTTGTATTTCCCAGCCCTATTCACCAAAAAAGCTTAGAAACAGTCATCAACCCAGTAGCAATGAACATCCTTAGCATACAAACTGTATTCCTGAAATACCATTTCCTGTTGAAAGAAACTACATTTCTTGAAGAAATGACCAATACCAGGTAGAAATGTGCAATGTAAGCTTGAAACATCTTGTCACATTAGATGGCAAAGAAAACTATCAAAAACTCCTGGGTTAATGTCATAAAGGTCTAATGAGCCAACTTAGAAGATGCTCCCAGTGACCAAAGATAGAACAATTTGAGTCAATAAAGATAATAACCATGATGGATCAAAACACACGAAATGATATACAATTTCATTTTTCTTCTGTCTCTTGAATATTTCTTGGGAACCTGACTGATATGTTGTTTTCTCTGGCATTTATTTGTTTATTTATGTATTTATTCTTACAGTTTTTGGCTGGGGCTGGCTTTGAACCCGCCACCTCTGGCATTTGGGGCTGGCACCCTACTCTTTTGAGACACAGGCGCCACCCCTAAGCCAATTAAAAACATTGAGTGGGGAAAAGATTCACTATTTAACAGATGGTGCTGGGCGAACTGGCTGGTGACCTGTAGAAGACTGAAACTGGACCCACACCTTTCACCATTAACTAAGATAGACTCTCACTGGATTAAAGATTTAAATTTAAGACACGAAACAATAAAAGTATTAGAAGAAAGTGTTGGGAAAACACTTGAAAAAATTGGCCTGGGCGAAAATTTCATGAGCAGGACCCCTCAGGCAATGGAAACATCAAAAATACACTACTGGGATATGATTAAACTAAAAAGCTTCTGCACAGCCAAGAATATAGTAAAGCAAGCAGACAGCCCTCAGAATGAGAGAAGATATTTACAGGTTATGTCTCTAACAAAGGTTTAATAACCAGAATCCACAGTGAACTCAACTGTATTAGCAAGAAAAGAACAAGTGATCCCATCTCAGGGTGGGCAAGGGACTTGAAGAGAAACTTCTCTGAAGAAGACAGGCACATGGCCTACAGACATATGAAAAAATGCTCATTATCATTAATCATCAGA